GAGATATACATGTGTATATTTGTGTTGTTCTCTCTGTCTCTCTCTTTCTGTGGAGCTCTTCTCTCTCATCATGTTCGTGCATGTTTGTTTTTGCGTTTCGTTCTGTGCCGTTTCCGGGCCGAAGTCAGCGGGGCGGCAGAGTGCCCAGGACTCGTTCATTGCATTTTTCCGGGCGTCAGCTTGGCATCGTGAGAAGACCGATGCAAAGTGCGTGTTCCCTCGCAGCACTATCTCTCTCTCTATATATTTCTCTCTTTATCTCCCCCTTCTTTCCGTGTTCGTCTTGCCCGTCTGCGGTCTGGCCCGCCGGTTTCCTTCGCGCCGCGCCTCTCTACCCGCGCCCGGCGCGTCAGTTGACGCGCGCGCGAGCGTTTCGCGGCCGCGTTCCGCGCGGCTGCCGGGCACCCGCGGCCGCTTGGTTCCCCGGCCGTTCCGCGAGAGTTCGGCGATCTCATCGGCCAAGCGCGGCGGTGGGCGCGCGCGGGGAAATCGCGCAATGAACGTATTTCCCTCAACTATTATGCGTGCATGTCCTCCCCCCTTGTCTGTTTTCTCTCTCTCTCTCTTTCTCTCTATTTTTTTCTTTATTTCGCTTTTCTCTCTCTCTCTCTCTCTCTCTCTCTCTTCCTAAGTTGTCCCCCTCTCTTTATCTCTCACTCTCTCTCTCTCTTTCTCTCTCCCTCTGTTTCCGTTTTCGCACTGCCTGTCTGTCACGTCTGCGTGTCTTTATGTTTTCCTATCTTGCTGTCCGCTTGTGTTGGGTGCGTCGGCGCATGCGTGCGCGTGTAGTCTTCCCGGGCCCCCTGACCGCTCCGCCGTAGTTTGGCCAGTTTGTTGGTTTTCTGCGTAGGTAGCAACCCGTAGGGAAATTGTCTAATTCGAGTGCCTCTTTTTCGTTGTTGTGGTGTCCTGTATTGTTTTCGTGCGTGTGCCGTTTGTTTGTTTTTATTATTTATATATATATATATATATATATATATATATACACACAATGCGTTGTTTCATCGTGATACAACAAACAGTTTGTTGCATTATCTCTCTCTCTCTCTCTCTCTCCCCCTTCCCCCCTTTTCTCTTTGACCCCGTATCTTCGTTTCCTCTCTGCCTGTCTGTCTGAATAGTCTGCCTGTCTCCGTTTTGCCTGCCTGCCTTTCTGTCTGTGGTTTGCGCGTCTTCGCGCGCGTATCGCGGTAGTTTTCCTATGTCCCCCCTCTTCCTTCTCCCCTTGCGCATGATTCCAGAGCTGCAATTATCACTTCTCACTTTCAACGTGGTTTGGATTATTCGTTGGGTTGTAGTTGTTTTGTTATTATTGGTGTGTCTCGCGCATTTTTTGGTGGCGTGGGTTTCCTTCCTTTTGTCTTGTTTGTTTTCTTTTTGATATGTTGTTGTTATCTCTCCCTCTCTCTCCCCCTGCGCCCCCTCATCATTTCAGGTTTCTCAGCGCGTTCCTCCCCCTTCTCTCATTCTCTCTTTCTCTGTTCCTATAGATGCTCTCCTCTCTCTCTCTCTCTCACTCGCTCCTTGTAGGTCTTGCATTATCGCTGATCTGTGACTGCGCTCTCTCACCCTTTCTCTTTCTTTCCCTCGTTCAGTATCTCTCATTATTTATGTTTTTCTTCCTCCCTCTCTCTCTGTCTCTGTCTCTCTTTCAGTCTCTTCCTCTCTCTCTCTCTCTCTTCCTCTCTCTCTCTCTATATCTATATCTATGTATCGCTCTCTTTCTCTCTCTCTCTCTTTCTTTATTTCTTTTCCTGTCTGTCTGTCCTGTCTATCTGCCTGTGAGTCCGTCTGCCTGTCTGTCTGTCTGTCGGTCTGTCTGTCTGTCTGTCGGTCTGTCTGTCTGTCTGTCAATCTGCCTGTGTGTCTGTCCGTCTGTCTGTCTGTCCGTCTCTCTCTCTCTCTCTCTCTTTCTCTTTTGTTTCATCTCTCTCTCTCTCTGCCAAAGCGCGACGCGATGCGCGTAATTTGGTGACTTTGGGCCTGGTCTGAGTCCGCCTGGCATCCGGCAGGAGTGCGCGGCGGTGGTTGTCTGCGAACAGGTGGTGATTGTCTGCGGACAGATGGCGCGCGTGGGCGTCTTGGCCCAAAGCGTTGATTTCGGGGGCGCGCATCCGCGGGGTGCTTCGCGCGCGCGCGAATGTGGCGTCGGCCCGACGGGCACGCGGCGCCGCGGCGTTCGCGACGCTGTGGCGTGGCCGCGTGGCGACATGCACGGTTCATTGCGTTCTGCGCGGGGCGCGCAAAGCCCGGCCGCGGGCGCGCGCGCGCGGGCGCGCCGCGGGGATCGCACGCGGGGGCAGATCGCGGCGCGCCTCGGCGCTCGCCGCGCCACATGTATTCATTCGTTCGAATTGCGCCGCGCTCGCGGCGGCGCGCTCGCCCGCGCCGCGGGCCCGTCGCGAAGCGCTCGAAGGCGACGCCATGCTTGAGGCGTTGCAGGCGGTCCAGGCCCCCGCGCGACGGCCAGGCTGGTCGGCGCGCGTGGCGACCTGCGCCGGTGGTTCACCGGGTCGCGGGGCGGGCCTTGCACGCCGCGACCGAGCGCGCCTGGGGGCCCGTGGCGTCGGGTTGGGCGCCCCGGCCGGCCTCGCCGAGGACGGCGCCTGCCGCCGCAGGGGCGCCCGCGGGGCGGCGCCCGCGGGGCGGCGACCCTGGCTGGAGGCCGCCGCACCCAGCGTTGGGGCGCTGCGCCCCGAGGCGGGGCACGCGAGGATGGGGCGCCCAGATCTGTGGGAGTTTTTCGGGCGCCCTCGGGCAGCTGGTAAGAAGTCACCGTCATACGCGTCGGCGGTTGTCTGCCAGCAGATGGTCGCGCCCCAGGTGGCCCGACCAGATCTTGGTGGTTTCTGGCCCGCCCGGAGCCAGCCCAGGAATCCACGGAGATCGCAGGTCCAGGTCGGGCGATGTCTGCAAAGACACGGCGCGCGCGCGGCGTCCGATGCCAGTCGGTGATGTTGGGTGCTTTCGGAGCCGACCGAACAGTTGGCAGACATCTGTGTGTTTGGCGTTATTTGCCACGCCGGGCAACGGGCCTCATCGTCCGCGCGCTCCGTCTCCTGCTGCTCTTCCTCGTCTCCTTCCTTTTCTCCTGCCATGCTTTTTTCCGATGCGCGGGGCCCTTGCCGCTCGTCGCGGGCGGGGCGCGCCGAGTTTGGCATGTTCCGCCGTGCCGGGCACGGGCCTCCTCTTCCTGTCTTCCTCCTCCTCCTCCTCCTCGTTCTCTTTTTCTTCCTCCTCCACTTGCCGTGCTTTCCGATGTTCGAGCGGGGCATCCAGAGTTGGGTTTTTCTCATTTTCCAGGGTTGGCCTACGGCATTCCCTTTTCCAACGGTTGGGACGTTCCCTTCTCGTTTTCGGGTTCCTGGCGTTTCGCCCAAGCGTTCCACGGTTGTGGCACCAACCGCTCGAAAGCGTGACGATTTGGATTGTCTCCAGGGCGTCAAAGAGTCGTCGTCTTCGGCTGGAGAGGTGTTTTGGGCACCTGGAGCGGCTTGCCTTCCAAAGCCGAGATGGTCGAAAGGCAACAAGTTTTCCTGCTAACGCTGTGTTCGGGAGTCTCACGCAGCGTTCCCCGGAATTGTCTACACCAGTCCCAAGACAAGCCCAACAAATCCAGCACATCCACGGTCTGATTCCTCAAGGGTCATTTCCATGTTTACCATGGCGAGGCGGTGGATCTGACCCCGCGGAGGAAACGAGACAAAATACCCAGCTGCCTGCGACAAGCATCGGCCTCGTGCCAGCCCAGCATTGTGGCGACCGTTCGGGGGGGCGCAGGGGCTTTCACGTGTGACACCTCGTGCCCCGAAGTCTGGGAGAGCCGTCGTGGGGACGATGCCCACGATGAGAAGGATGAGGAGTGAGGAGGAGTGAGGAGGAGGAGGAGGAGGAGGAGGAGGAGGAGGAGGAGGAGGAGGAGGAACAGGAAGAGGGGTGTTTAGGCTGTCTTGGGCTCCTGTGGGGCAGTATGGGGGGTCCTTTCGGGCCGTGTGGGGGCCGTCCTGGGCCCTTCTTATGCCGTTTTGAGGCTCTCCTGGGCCGTCTTGGGCCCTTCCTGGCCGTATGAACAGCATCTTGGCGCCGTCGCGGGAGGGGCCGTCGGAGGGCCTTCTAAGGCCGACACGGGATGCCCTCTTCGGCCATCATGTGGGCCGTCCTGCCCATCCGTCCTGCCCCCCCGTTCGGGGAGCATGCAGCCGTGGCGACGAGAGGCCTCCGAGAGGCCCCAGGAGAGGACGGGCACCGCCAGGGAGGGCCGCCTCGTCTCGACGGGCCTTCAGAGCTTTCGGGCCACACCCCCTCGCCTCCGGGGGGGGGGGGCTTTCGGGATGCTCCAGGCGCCCCCTGGGCACGCTCATGGGACCGCCGCGGGTCGACGAGGCACGGGGGCACGAGTGGGGGGGGGGGGGAGAAGAAGGCGAGAGGGCGAGCGAGGCGCAGTGCCTGCTGGAACCCGCCCCGAGGCAGGGAGACCTCCCGAGCATGTGATGTCTTGACTTGTGTCGGTGCGCGGGCCCCCGACGTCCCGGCAAATTTCCCAAGGGCCGGTGCCTTGTCCCTGGCCTTTTTCGCACGGCCCTGGGGCCCAGAAAGGCCCCTCGGAGGTAGAACGTTGGGGGGGGCAAATTGCAGTCCTGATTTTTCACGTGGCATCGATCGGACGTGTGCATGTTGTCCTGGCCGCCCCCCTCCTCCTCCCTCCTTTATCGCCAGCGCAGTCAGTCATCCTCTGCCCAGCCGCCGACGCCAAAAGTTTCCCTCGGCGAGGGCTGTCGAGGAGCATTCTGGAACATCCTGCGCAAAAGTAAAAGCCCACGAAAGTACAGAAAGTACAAGGGGAACTGGCGTCCTAGCGATGGCGGGTCTGAGGACGTGGCACCCCTGGCTCCACGGCCCCAGGCCCGGCCGCCCTTCCCGGGAGCGGTCGGCAATAAAACTCCTCCGCAGGGGCCTCTCCCAATGGGCCCTCCTCCGATGCGCGGCGCGCCCCCCGCGAGGGCGGCGTGCAGCGCGTGGGGCTGCAGGTGCAGGACGCGGGGCCCGGCGGGCTGGAGGCGGCCCCCGCGCGCGGCGGCGACGACGACGACGGCGAGGACGACGACGAAGACGGCGACGAGGCCGACGACGGCGAGGAGACGGCAAAGACGGCGACGAGACCAACAGCGACGAGGAGAAGCACGACGAGCAAGCCGACGAGGACGACGAGGACTGCGAGGAGAATAGCGGCGACGACGACGACGACGACGACGACGACGGCGACGACGACGGCAACGACGACGACCGCGACGACGACGGCGACGACGACGGTGATGGCCACGACGGCGGCGACGATGATGATGATGACCACAGCGGCGATGGTGACGACGGTGACGGCGACGGCGTCGTCAGGGGTGGATTGGCTCTGGGCTCGTCGTCGACCGTTCTCGTCGGGTGTCGGCGGCGTTTGGCCTCGGGATGCTGTCCAGCGGCTGCGCCTCGCCGAGAGCTTTCTGAGGGGTGACCGGATCCTCCCGAACTGCCGCTGGAGCCTCGATTTCATAGCGCTGGAGCTGGCGGGGCCAGGGGCAGGCCTACAGTGGGGACCCATGCCAAGAAACATTTTGCTCGCCTCCAGGGTGCCCCGGGTTTCTTGGGTTCCGATGGTTTTGCGATGGAAGGCGTGACATTCCCACACCAAGAATCGATGGACGTCCTGGGGTCTCAGGATCGGGTTTCTTGTGGAAGGTTTCTTGTGATCGGGCCCCTACTGCATCGCCGACCTGTTGTCGGCGGCGCGCCGATGGGGAAAGCAGTCGCGGGCGGACCTCAGAGGTCGACGGGGCTTCTTCGAGGCCCCCTGGCCTTCGGAGACGCCGTCTCCGTCTTGGAGGATGCTTCTCAGAAAGCTGGCGGCCTCCGGAGCCTTCCGAGAAGGCCCGCCCCCTCCAGCTTCCTCCCTGGGCGCACTACCAATACCCTCCCATCAGCATGCGGAGTCTCTGTAGGGGGCCCATCGCCGATCTGTTGGCGGCGTGTTGCCGATTCCAGGTCGATATTTCACCCCCTGAGCGAGTCGACGAGTTTGGCCAGCCCGATCCGCTTCGATTCCTGTATTCTGACGACCCGATGCGGGCCGAGGAAGGTTGCATGGCGCTGTTGTGTATCCTGGCGCGTCCGATTCGATTCTGGCTCAGTGCTGATGCGGTCCGATTCGATGCATACTGCGATCCGAAGCGATGTTGCGTCTCGATATTGGTTGCTCCTGCCCCGAGCCGAGCCCGAGCGAGCCATCTTTCCTGGCCTCTTGTCGGCTGCAGGAGGAGTTGTCCCTCCTCGCAATGCGGCCCACGGGGCGTGTCTAGGGGAGCGTCTTGTGCAGAGGTGGCCAGCGCAGCGGTCTTGACTGTGCGTCCCCCTCCTCCCCCTGTCGTGAAGTAAGCCCGGCGGGAGATGTCTGGCAGAACGTTCAATACGACAGCAGGCGCTCGGCCAGGAAGGGACCGGCGGACTTCTGGGGGCCCTGCATGGAGAAATACAGGACATCGGAAGGGCGGGGAGGGCCCAGGTGGGGAGTGTGTGTGTGTGTGTGTGTGTGCGTTACGCATGGTGGCACAATTCGGTACAACGGCACCCCAGTTTGGGTAGCTCATCGATCGCCAGCGCAGTTGCTCTGCCTAGCCGCCGACGCAAAGTGTGTAAGTGTGTGTGTGTGTGTGCGTGTGTGTGTGTGTGTGTGTGTGTGTCTGTGTGTGTGCGTGTGGCTGGTCCCCTGCGAGCGCAGTCCCCACGCCGCGTGGCCTGGGAAAGCCGCGCGCGTCTCGTTACCCGTTTTTCTATGTCTCGACGTTGCGCGCGGGGCCGCGACGCCAAAAGGTGTGTGCGTGTGGCCGCGCGCGTCCTCCAGCTTGACTGCATACGCCTCGACGCCTAGAAAAGTGTGTGCGTGTGTGGGTTCCAGGACGGGCCTTGCCCTCGATGGATCGATGCGTGGGGCGACCATCTCTTCCTGTGGAAGGCGGCGGACGGCACAAGTAAGACTACGGCAGCTCCGCCTTCGGATGCTCGGCGGAGAGAGGAGCGACCTGTGGTTCAACGGTGGTGCCTGGATGGATGGGGTTCTGACGATAGGAAGCGGCTCCAGGTCAGTTCTACGGCATGCGGCCCCTCGCCGCTGGCTGCTCTTTCCTCATCTCTCTGTCCCCTTCTCATCACCACCATCACCACCATCATTCCTCCCCCCCGCTCGCCCTCCCTCCACTCGAAGAATCGAAAGCGGCATATCAACATAATTTGCTTGGGCTCCGCGCGGATTCTCAAATCGGCGTTGGGGCCCCTTGACGGCGCCTCCGGCGCCGCACCTTGCACGCTCCGCGCGCCAGTTGGGGAGTCCAGCGCCGATCCATGAATTCTGTGCAGTCCTTCGATGGTTATGCTTGTGTCGCTTATTATTGCAAATATGTACCAGTAGTATCAGTATGAGTATTCGTAGTGTTGGTTGTTATGAATTGTCATTCTTATTTTTTATACTTGCGATTGTCATTATTCGGCACTCGTCCCTGTCGCACCACCAGACGTGTCGTTCGGGCGGGTCGTGCGGTCTGCTATCGTTGTTCTCCTCATGCTCCACAAGTTGCGGCAGCGCTGGCGCGAGCCAAACCGTTTTTCCCACACGTCGCCGATGTCCAGCGGTGGTAGGCGATGGTTCTGCATTCAAAGGCCTTCGCATGTTTCTATGGTCTTGCTCGCAGTGCACTCACTGCGAGCTGGGCTTGTCGCATCTTGTGTTCTTGTGGTGCTGCTGGTCTTCATCGCAGAGTACAGGCATCCCGCAGGAATTATAATGAATGGGCGCAGCAAGCGACGAACGCGAGTCCCCTGGGGCCTTCAGGGAAGTGGACTCAGGGTCCGCCTGACTTGGTCGCTCAGATCGCGGCAGCGGTGGGAAATAGGTTGCTCCAGAGCGCCAAGCAATTTTCCAAGGATGAGGGCGCGGCCAGTGGCAGTACTCCTCCTACTGGGGCTTCTAATGATGGGCAGGCTGGTCCAAGCTGCGATGATAGCAAGAGCGCCCGTATGGTCTCCCTCGACAACGCCCCCAAACAGTTCCACGACGTTGACGAGTCAGATCTTGCAACAACATGTTTTTTGGAGCAGTTACGAGATGCACCCCAAGAGGTGCGGAGTTCCAGATTGGTGCTCCAGCAAAATGCGCTTGTTGATTGTCACCTCCGCACTGCCCAGGATAAGCATACTCAAGCTTTGGATGCAGTCGAAGTTAAAGATAATCTCACTTATGAGGCTCAGACGGCGTTGCTAGAATTACAAGAAAGGGGGGGCTTTGCTACGCGAGGCCGAGCCTTTTAAAACATCTTCGCCGCACCAGGCCTACCGCTCCTACGCCTACGGGGTCTTAGACGCTTGACGTGGTGCTCGGCACCTATCTTGGATGCCAATCCCGAGTTCCAGGCCTTCGCCGAACCCCCCACCGGTTCAGGCAGCTGTAGCAGCAGAGCGTCAGGCAGGCTCCCTCACCTGCCTGCGGCTTCCCCTGCATCGGCCCCTGGGCCAGCCGCTGGCCCACGTCAGCATGAGGGAGCGGTCGTCGAGGTACGAGTTGATGATGACCCGATGGATGGGCTCACGCTACAGGATGTGGACAGTGATCAGTATCTCGCAAACATGGGCGTCAAACGTGCTCAGATGGCCTCGGCTCCTGCCCCTCCGCCTGTTTCTAGTTTTGCTGCCTCGCCAGCAGCTACAGGGTTGGCCCAACGGCCTTAGCTGTGAAGACCTTCCGCAGGCTCCCCATCTCGGCGCGCGGATTGCATGGCCGCAGCACAAGAGAATACCCTTCGTCTAGCCAATGTACCGTGCACGGTGGTACCGTGTCTCAGATCATGGAGTCCTTTCAACGGAAATTGCAGGGCCACGCTTTGGGACAGGCTGTGTATGAGTAAGTCCATTATCCGACGGAGTCGTAGACCTCCAACGAGCAGCAAGTTTGATTGGTCTCATAGTTCTTTGTTTGCCATCGGCAGTTCCAGAAAGCGTTGCTCATTCTTCGTGTTTCGCAGTCATTGCCAGGCAGTGTTGGGGAATGCTTCCCACCCCCGTGGTTGCACATATCATCTGAGGACGACAGATGCCGGTGATTGGTGACATCTTTGAATGGCCCCCGATTGCATGCTCGCGACCGCTACTGGGTCAACGCGCGCACATTTCGGCGTGCACGCGCGCATGCTCCGGGCACGACTGGCCCAGAGGATGGAACGATGAGCCGAGCATTCTCGAGAAGCAGCATCACGTGCGAATCAGGCCCAATCGCAGTGGCCCCGTTGCGTCGCGCGTGCGCGCCCGCCGGCGGATCTTTAACGCTCGACTTTTTCTCGTGCTTTCATGATGTGGTTCGTCCGGTGGACATGGCTCGCGCTGCGTCAGAGCGGCGCGGGCGCCTAGAAGCCTACGAACGACCCGCTGTTCAGCCGCCGACAGGTCCGAGGCCGTGCCCGCGGTCGTTCGACGCCGCGGGAGTGCTCACCACGCCAAGTCACGGAATCTGCTAATCAGGAGGCGGACGCGGCAGTTCGGGGGCGGCGAAAGCGCGCAGTTTGTTTTCCGCGCAGGGGCCGAGTGGGACGCAGCTGGGGCCGCCCCACAGCCAGAACGACGCGCCATAAATCTGTCGTTCGACGGTGGGCCCATGTGCCCAGATGGAAGGATAATGAAAACCAGGATTTCCAAGTATTTCGAGGTGGGAAGTAGTTGCAGCGCGCGCGGCACGAGTTCGAAGCGATGGCGAGCGATGGCGCGGCGGATCTTCAGGGTCATCCGGCAGCCGCGAGCATTGACCAGGCGCGTTCGCTGGATGTTTGCACGGGCGAAGGGCGCGACGTGCAGCGCGACTCAAACTTGCAGCAGTTGCGCCATCTCCGCTGTGACTGTCGATCTCCCCGACAGCGCCCGCGCTTGGAGCGCGCCTCGCCGCGCGGTCAGGGCCTCGAAGTAAATCTCTACGGCGCCGCCTCCCAGCGTCTGAGAAGGACCCGCGTGGCGAGGTCCTCTTTGGTCGGCAAAA